GAGAGTCTATACCCATTTCTTCTTGCACTGACATTGGCCTTGACTGTAAGTAGCTCTTCAGTTTCTAATGTTTCTCCAACAGTGATTTATTTATAGGCAGCAATAATACTCCTTGCCAGCGTTCATATTGCTAGGCTATGATATCACTATTTCAGATGCATCTTATGAAACCTTCCACATTTTAAGAATACAGTTCTCTGGGCATAGTTTTAAATACTGGTATTATTCCAGGAATTCTGCTCTTCTCTGTGGTTTTTGTAACAGGTAGGCTCTGTACAAAGAGCCTGAAGAATAAGTGATACAGATGAGAGGGGGATGAGTAAAGGCAGCGGGAAGCAAAGACGTTGGCTAAAGGTTCATCAATAGGAAATATAGAATCATAGAATCATTAAGGTTGGAAAAGACCTCAAGGATCATCAAGTCCAACCCAACACCTCTTGCAGTGAAGACATTTTTTAGTATTTATGATGAGATTTTTAAAATGTGATGTGCCTGAATCATTATTTAAGGCTCTGCTATTCTAAGTGGCAGGTGGAACAGACTTAACTAAGCTAGGTGGAAAGCCAAGAGATGAAGGGGAAAATGGATCACGAACTCATGAATTCAGCTAGTCAATGTCCTGACCTGGGGCTTGCTCTTTTTCCCCTTGCTCCATGACAGAAAGGTATGTATGGGAGGACTGTGCCTTAGATCTGGAGCATGCTCTGCTCTAATCACATCAGCTAAGACATAATTTTTAACTGTACACCAGTGCTAATTGTGCAGATCACCTACCCACGGGATATATCCCCACTACCTAGGCTCTGGCAGGTGTCAGATCACCCTGGTCTGTATGGATGCTCTACGTTTTTTCTGACAGGTTTCTACAAATCATTGAATCAAACTCTTTTATTCTTACTAACAGGCGTGCAGTAGCAGTCTCACCAACTGCACACCAGACTGAAGATCAAGAGGTTGTTCAAAGGAGCATAGAATAGGGGAGGATAAAGGAAAGTTGATCTTCCTCTTCTAAACCCTGGGGATGGTTAGATGGAAAAAAAAAAAAAGAAGAAAAAAGTGAATATGTGGTTTCAAGGAAAAATGTTTCAGTCTTTTTGGAGAGAAAAAACTATGTGAGAATTAGGTAATCTGGCTTTAATCACCAGAAAGAAAGGGCAGACTGCCTCAGGGCCATAAGGAAAAAAATAAATCAGATGTTTTAAAGGGAAAACAGAAAGAGGCAAATTTAAGGGCAACAAGAAAGCAAAGTTTCCTTCCAATCCTTAATTTGCTTTCATTACTACCATACTAGTGACAAAAGATGTTGGGTTTAGTCTTTTTAGAGCTGCTTTTATCCAGCAACCTGTGCAGAAGGACTTGTCATTTTTAATCCTCATCCTGTCCTCCTTTCAGCACCATCCTTCTTTATTGGATTCAAAACTCAGCAGGGACTTAGCTGTTTCCCAGAACAAATATCTGTCTTCCTGTAGTCAGTACTTTTGGTTTGGTCACTCCTGCACAAATAAAACATCTTCTGATTGAATCCAGCCAGGTCAGGGCTGGCAATTGCCAGCACATAGTTTAATAACAAGCCAGGAGTTTTACGAACAACTCTTATTCCACCTCAGAGGCTGATATAACAGCACACAAACAAGAAGAAAGCCAGGGCAAAGCAATTCCAGTTTCTGCATTATCAGCAACAGTAAAGGAAAAATATTATTCAGAAGAAGTGTTTTAATCCTTCTGCTTTATTTTTTTTTTTTTTTTCCCCCATCAGCTTGATGGGTGTTAACAGATAGCAGGATTCCTGCTATGGAAAATTTCTGCTTTAGTGATTCACAGCATTGCAGATACATTTAACAATGCCCCGTGAAGTGCCCTGAGCAAATCTCTCCAGAGGTCAAGGTCAATGCAGCTCTACAGCACATTTGGTTTAAGCACAAATTCCCCATTTTTCCTTCTCAGCACCTTTTTTTTTTTTTTTTTTTGTGTGCTCACTTGGCTTTGCATTGTAAAGACAGCATGGCGCTCACACTTTTAAGACCACCTACATTTAGACCTTGAGGAACCATCCTTGACTTAGATCTTCAGGAGCTATCTCAATGACTCATTGCCATTCGGTCAGCATGCCAACAAAAATCAAGTCCTCTCCCATAAGTTTGGCTTCCCTTTTTATTAATTAGGTGCTAAATGAAATATTTACTGGCTTATTTTTTATCGCAGAGCCAAGAAAGAAGGATTGGTTCATATGTGACAGAACTGGAGAAAACAAGGCTGAAACAGGTCTTTGCAGTAAGGGGAGTCCCTGGCTGAGTTCTCCTCCCTTCCCAGTTGTGTTGGGGTCTCCTGGTAACACAAACACAGATGGCAGATTATTTCACTACTTGCTGCTATATCTGAGCTTTATGACCCTTGAAATATCTTTTGTGTATCGTTCCTTAGAGTTTAGGACATTTCTACGGGATGGTGGGTTGTGAATGGAGAACAGAGGGCTGTATAAGGAACTAAAGAAAAGAGGAACTGGGGACAAGATGACATAGGATAGATTTGGAAGAATAGAAACTAGATCCAATTCTTTCCCCTTCCCACTTCAGCACAACTGAAGACTAAGCTTCCCATCAATGCAGCAGGTACCTGGGCTGGGGCAGCACCAGTAATGGTGAAGCTCATTGCCAAAAGCAGAACACCCATCTCACTAGTTGATCACCAAAGTAATATCCCTTGCCATGCCAACTAGATATTTAACCTGCTCTTAGAACCTCCAGCGTGAGAGATCTCACAGCCTTTCTAGCAGTTATGTTCCAATACAGGTGTGCTCCAGACTCTTTCTTTAGACAGGACTACCTTTGGGACTCCATCTGCACTGACAGAGTAAAGGAAAATCAAGCAGGCGATGGGTGAGAAACATAAAAATAAGGAGCAGTTGTAGAGCTTGAGCCTTCCTGGAGGTCTCCTTTATCTTCACCCTCAGCAGGCACTCACAAGTGTGGTAGATGGGTGGAGGGGGGCAGGAATAAGGAACTGATAGATTTCTACTTTGGGACAAGATGTAGGACCATCAGATCTAGCCTTTAGGGTCTTCTATTTTCATTTTTTTTTAGCCATGAACTGTCTAAATTCTCTCATTTCACCCAATTAGCAGATGCCTTTTTCCATCCAAATGGAAACAGGAAAAAAAAGCCCCAAATAATAGGCCTCAATTATAAAAAAATATTTGCTCTTGGGACACTTTGAAGAGGTAAGTGTGATGAAGATGCGAATAACCTAGAATTCGTAGAAATCTGTAATGCAATGTGAAGCTGGACTGCCTTCACTGGAGCATCTGCAGAAATCTTGAAAACAGATGATGTAACTCTACAGACACTGAGGTAGCTCATGATGGTTAACACTGGCTGGACACGAGATTTTTTTTTTGCATGATACAGCGGGAATTTGAAAAGATGGACCATCTTAATTCACAGCATGTACAGGGAAGTACTTATTTGCTGCAGTAATTTTTAATGCTGAAGCTGACTGCAAAATTTAGATCTTAAAGTCAAAGTTTAAATACCAGAAGAACAATTTAAAAGAGACCAGTTTGGCCAGTTCTGGGTTAGAAGCTGGACACATTTATACCATCTGAACTAACTGTTTTTGCATTACTTAATTAAGCTTTTATAAAAGATTCAGCATCAAATCAGGGACTATAGTTACAATGAATAATCTGCATTCTTTATTCAGTGTAAATTAATTCAGGTCTCCTAGCACTACGGGAATTAGCATTACACGCACAGCGAACGGGTCGAAATGGAAGTTTCAACTGATGCACCATAAATATTCCCATTGAACGTTATAAGCTTTTTCTCCTTCCCATTAGCATAGATTATTCTGTTTATAGATGCTGGGATGAAAGAAGGTTCCTGTTGTTAATATGAAACACTGCTGTTAGGAATGCTCAAGAGAAAGATTTAGCATAAGACTTCATAGGGTTACTCTACTCCAGGTAAGCAGTAATTCTTTCACTTAGGTCACTGTCTATCATCAGACTGAAATCCTGTGGGGGGTGATCCTCCACCTCTTTCTCCTCTGCTATTAGCATAAGATTTTTCTCAAGGATTATCATTGCATAGCACTTAGTGCAGTTGGTTCTAAATTTGGGTTGAACGCTCCTACGCAGCACAAATAGTACAGAAATACCAGTCAGGTAATCCAACAAATAATACAGAAATATCCAGCCAGCCCATTCCTATTGAAATACATTCCTGTGACTCAGGCTGTGAGCATACAATACATATGATGGCTGATGCATGTCGACCTATTGCTTTCCACCAAGTTTCCTTCCCTCCCACCCCTTCCCTTTTCCCTGGAGCCCTAATTCTTCTTCATAGACTTTCCTTCACTGATATATCCATTTGACCTGGAAAACTCCCTTCTGTACCAGTGAACCAGGGAAGGGAAGTGTTTCTATGCATTTTCATCAATTTGCATTCATCATTACATGAGGACTGCTGGGAATACAGCTCCTCTACAGATGTTTCTCTTGTTATTTAAGAAAACTTCTAAGTTCTTTAATGGAAGAAAAATTGAAATTAATCCAAAGCAAAATGTTAAGATTTCATTCTATCCCCTTTGGTCTAGATCTAGGCATTATCTGTCAGGGAATGCCAAATGCATTATGATATCATGTACTGCCTTATAAAATAGAAAACTTGCCCCCAAAACTTGCAACTCAACACACTCACTCAAATCCCAGCTTCCCTTAATGAAGCACTCTGCGCTCAGTGAATTTTTTTCTGCATCAATAAATCATTTACAGCTCTCTTCCTGAATACAAATAAGCTTTAGGTCCTATGCATGGAGGCTACCATTACAGCTCATCCAATGACTCAGTCAATAAAACCATATTATATGCTTGGGAGTCTAAAAGCCATGACCATTTTTCAAGACCATACACAACCTGGACAGCGTTATTAGAGGGCTTGAATAACCCAGTAAGTGCCACACACACAACCAAGTTAGAAGCATGCAAACAGATTACTCACCTCAAGCACAAGAAAAGCATAAAGGCAACTATAAGGGCCCCTACTGATATACAGTGCCCCAGGTAGTTTATGATGAGAGCAATCTTGTAATGGAGCGCATACTTCCTCTGGAGGTAAAGAGATAACATGATTAAATCAGCATGACTCTCTAAGCACTGACATTAAGGAACAGTTAATCAGTTTAGGAAACAGTAATTACTTTTCTCCTCTTTGAAATGATACAACAGCCCCAGGGCTGATGCCTATGTATAAGCCACACATGCTGCCCAGGCACAGACGCTTGGTTTCATTTCAGTTTGGGATTTGTCCACAGTTTCTTATAAGTCTCAGCAAAAAGTTGGGTTTCTTCCCCCAACCCCCCCCCCCCCCCTTTTTTTTTTTTTCCCTGCAATTTCCTCGGGCTTTCTTATTTTCATTATTATGCTATTTTAAAACTTTGTTGTTTCTGGGTGACAAAGCCACCAAAGACAAACCTTCTCACATTTTCAAAAGTTATAAACCATTATTTTTGTAGGAAACTTTATAGTTGTAATGAGCCAGGTTATGCTGCTTTTCTACTCAAACAGCTTGGTTGTCATACAAAAATGAATCAGTTGTCAGTAAGAAGAAATAATAAGCCCTTTCCATACAGGCAGATTTTTCTCTGGAGGTATGCTCCTTGCAAGCTACGATCCTTATCTTTCAAATTGAGGGCAGAACCAACCAGACTGAAAGAACTGGAATCTGGTGGGGTCCTTTCAGTTTTGAGAGAACCTGACAAACCAGAGATCCTGTTGTTTTTAGCAGTGACCCAAGTATGTGGTGAATCTTAATTTATTAGTGTCTATTTTCTTGGATGCTGGGGAGATTATTCGTAGTTTCTTGACCCTGTAAGCAAAAAAATTAAGTACAAAAGTGCTCCCACCTAAATCAGTGAATTTAGTGATGTGACCCAAATTTGACCTTGAAGTAACTGGAACATTCTTTATTGGTGGGCTGCTGCTGGCTTCAGAGAAAAGAGAAGCACCTCCTCTCTTTGCCTGATGGATAGGAAGAAGTAGAAAAACACTATTTAGATAAATACTGAAGCTGCTTAAAAAAATGACAGAGGTTTGCTACTCTAAAGAATAAATCCCTCTGAAAAAAAATATTTATTTGTTTATTAGTTCTGGCATTTCTTTTCAGGCTAAGCAGATCTTTCTCCACTTCAGGATGTTGTCCTCGTTCAGAAGAATGAGACCTTTCAAAACTAACCACCTAAATTTCCTCCCTTGTGATAAAAATACAAAAGCACAATCCTACAAATGGCACCAGTTTTCTAATTTCAGCTGAACTTCCTTTGTTCCATTTTTTTTCTAACTATTTCCCTTAACATTTTATTCCAGTCAAAGGAATTTGTTGGTGAATGAATATTTGGATGAAACTACAACCCGCAGCTGTAGTTAATCTGTTGCATTGTTCTGTGAAGATAGCATCTTCCAGCACTTTGCCAGAGAGCGAGCATGCCCTCTTGGAATCATTTTCCTGATGAAGTCTGCCTGTATCTTCAGCACATGGAGTAATGTGCTGTTTCTGGACAGAACTCAACCACGTTAGGTATTTTTAAGCCTGTTATAAAATCCCCTAAAATAAACTTCCCAATATACAGGCTCATTTTCTGAATAGTCTTGAGGAGAAACAAAACCCCACAAGATCTGAATTCCACACTGGGTTTTATTTATCCTTAAGTCACAGGGACACCTAAAGGGGAGGAAAACACACTTGTACTGCTGTGCCTACCTGAAATGCAATGTTGTACTGTTCAGCTAGTGCCCCAAACTGCTTTGCTTATTGACTTTCCCATTAATTCACAGAATCATAGAATATTTCAAATTGGAAGGGACCCATAAGGATCACTGAGTCCAACTCCCTGCTTCTTGCAGGACTAACTAAACCTAAACCATATGACTAAGAGCGTCATCCAGAACTGCTCATGTAGCGGTAGAAATCTTCTGGAAGATGTCAATGTTTCCCCCAGGCCAAGGATCCTGCTATTTGAATCTGACCCTTCAGCTTTCTCCTTTGGCTCCTAACCACTATTTCAATTTCATTCAAGTTTTAAGAAGGTGTGGTTTGAAATGAGAAAATTAATTGGAAAATATATAATTAAGCTCCTCTGACACACTGATGCTGAAGGAAAAACAGGCTCAATTTTTATTTTTTTTCCTTCTGTTGACATGAACAAGCTTTCCTGAAAGCAAACTCAAATATCATAGAAACAAGAACTGCCTCGGTGCCTATGAAAAACTAAGACGACAAGGTGGCAAGATCACTTTCCACCAGCCTACATGCAATCTGCATCTCTGGCAGAATTAGAGACAACACCTTCAGGGCTGAAAAACACGTGCCCAGAATCAGTCATGTGTTGGCCAAAGCTCAGTGCATGCAAAATACTTGTATAACTCCTTTCTGTCTCACCCTCTTGATGACTGATACATTTAAAACAGTAATAACCTACTGTTACCCAGTATTCCTCTGCTTCCAGGAAGATGTTTCAGCCCACTAAAATGCAGATTTAAATCCTAATCCAGGTTTAGGAGGAAGGTTGTTACATTGGAAAGGAGATAGAAAAGGTTCCTTCCAGTACCTGAAGGGGACATACAGGAAAGCTGGGGAGGGACTTTTTACAAGGGCATGTAGCAACAGGATGAGGGGTAATGGATTTAAACTACAAGAGGGCAGATTTAGATGAGATATTAGAAATAAATTCTTTACTGTGGTGAGGCAGTGGCCCAAGTTGCCCAGAGAAGCTGTGGATGCCCCATCCCTGGAGGGGTTCAAGGCCAGGCTGGATGAGCCTTTGAGCAACCTGGGCTAGTGGGAGGTGTCCCTGCCCATGGCGGGGGCTGGAACTCAATGATCTTTGGGGTCCCTTCCAACCCAAACCATTCTGTGATTCTGTTCTGGACACTGTTTGCCTTGGTCTCCAGATCACAGTAGGTCACATCACTGGAGCCCTCTTCCCTGCCATTCCTTTTGCATGGCAATCACGTTACATCCAAGAGTGCAGAGTTATCTCCCAGCCAGCTTCTACCAGGTAAACTGAGGCAGCACAGCCTTATGTCTCTACCTGCAGCAGCTCTGCAAATCTAAGGCACACTGGGCTCCCTCCAGCCAAACTTCAGGCTAATGAAGGAGTCATCCTGTCTGGAGAACTTCTTCCTTTGCTTTAGCTAGGATGTGATTGCTAACCTGCTAAAAAAAATTAAACTAATAACCACCTAACAACAGCACTCTTAGCTCTCCAGGTAAGGATGATCTTTCTCCCTCCAACAGAACTTCCCAACAGGTCCTGCCCGTGTTCCCAGCACACATCTTTCTGCAAGGCTCGGCACTCCATACCCGTTCAGTCACTTCAGATTTCTTCCTCTTGCCAGGATGATCCCATCAGCAGTCCAGCTTAAAGACACCATATCTCCTCTCCAAAGACTTTCAGAAGACAATGGGAAGTATCTTTGTCATCCAAGATGCCTCTGAGTTCACTGCTTTCCTGTCCTGAGCCAGCTGGAAGCTGGGTAGCTGTGGCCAATGTGACTGTGCTCCTAAGCAGGACACACCAACTTGAGCCCAGCATGGTGCTAACTCAGCTACACAGCTTCATGCCACCTCAAAACTTTAGCAGAGCCAAAGTCACATCCAAACGCCACATAGGCAAGACCAAAGCTCCTAATTTATAGCTCTTTTTGGAGGCTAAGATGCATTTTTTGCTGCCTGAGACTCTCATTTGTTTTCTAACAAGAGCACGGATTTGTGCCAGATGCAGGAAAGGTCCCTTTGACACAGGAGACGGTAGGTTGAGTAGGAGCTTTCCATTGGTGACACATTATGCCATCAGACAGCCAGTTGGATGAAAACGATTTCTGTGCCTGACTCTTGTGCCTGGAGAAGGAGTTAACTGATAGTTCAGAAGATGGGATTAAATCTGATGTTCGGACACCTACCTTTGGGTATCTAGCCAACATCTGAACCAACCTCTGAATCAAGGGCTCGAAACAGTTACGCGCACACAGGCATCTAGTGTGCCTTGCGGTGCCCTCAGGAGACTGTGCCTCCCAGTCGGTCCTGGTGACGGACCTCCAGTTGCTGCTGCAAGACACAGGTATTCCAGAAAGCCTGTGTCATACCTGCCAGATGCATGGAATCACACTGGGGCATTTTAACCTACACATAACTATATGTGGGCAGGTAGATCCTAGCCAAAGTGGGAATCCACGAGCAAAGCGGTCCCAGAGAAGAGTTTTATCTGTGCCTCCCAGTCGGTCCTGGTGACAGACCTCCAGTTGCTGCTGCAAGACACAGGTATTCCAGAAAGCCTGTGTCATACCTGCCAGATGCATGGAATCACACTGGGGCATTTTAACCTACACATAACTATATGTGGGCAGGTAGATCCTAGCCAAAGTGGGAATCCACGAGCAAAGCGGTCCCAGAGAAGAGTTTTATCAGTGACTGCCACAGGTCTTGACCACAAGTAGAGCAATGACCTATTAATATAACCCACTAATGAATGTTTGTCTCAGGCTTATGCTCCCCAAGACTGATCCACAGCTGAAAAAACCTAAAATTTCCAACACTCTGTCATAAAGCACGAAGCACTGGACTTGGGGCCAATCTTGAAAACTCCTGCTCCTGTCCCATACATCAATCACTGCCTTTGAAGTCAAACCACGTAATTCTTTAGCACTCTGGCTGGGAGTGGCCAAGCTTGGTTTATTCTGCACTAAAAATAAAGCACAAGGGGTGACTCCTGGCTGATGCATAGCATCTGCTAGGATCACTCAATAAATAACAACAGACCCACATGTGCTTGCATCTCACCTTTAATCAAAATGGAGGATGACAGAAAACTGTGGGGATTTTTCTTCTTTTTTTTTTTTTTTGAGATCACAAAGCAGCCCAAGTATTCATCTGTAACACTGAGCATTATGTAGAGATTTCAAAAATATTCACAAATATTAATATTTGCAAAGCTTGTCACAAATCTTTCAAGATCTAGTAAATGAGATTTTAAGCTTTTGCAAACAAGGGTGGGGGGGGAACATCTGCACTTTCATCTGCTTAAGGAACATGCTATTTAAGAAGTTTCAAGCTATCACCATAGCTGCTGAGTTTTAAAAGCAAAAACAGAGTAAAGGAAACAATCCATGCAGACAAACGCATAAAGAGTGTCATTAAAATACCGCAGCATTTTCCTGAGCTGGTACGGCAGGCTGCTACTATCAGCTCAGGTTTCCCATACCAGCTAAACCACAAAGATTTTGAGTCTTTACCCAGCTCTGTTCCCCATTCTCTAGCTCAGCACTGGCTGCTACATGCACACCCTCTTGCTCATTTTTAAAGACGGGTGGTTTCATGAAAGTGCAAATCCATCTTGGGCAGAGACGGTCTGCAGCCATGGTCTGCTGCCCCCCTCGACCCCAGCCACACTGTCACTCCCTTTGCTTGTGCTGGCCCCAGCACTCCTTCAATAATGCTGTAAGATGGTTTAGGGAACTGATTCATACAAAAAATAACCCAGAGAAAAGTTAGTTTTTTGGTTTAAGTGGGCAAGAAATGTAAGGGGGTCCTGCACTGGGGTGATCTCAACTGAGATCAGCCTAAATTGCCTTGGGAGCCTCTCCACTCTGGTAGACCACCTGTATGCGTTTCAGACCCCCTGGGTGGCACTCACAGAATGGTTTGAGTTGGAAGGGACCATGGAGGTCATCTAGTCCAACCCCCCTGCAGTCAGCAGGGACATCTTCCACCAGATCAGGTTGCCCAGAGCCCCATCCAACCTGACCTTGAATGTTTCCAGGGACGGGGCATCTACCACCTCCCTGGGCAACCTGTTCCAGTGTTTCACCACCCATCATGTCCTGAGACATTTTTTTCTTACCTTCTAGAAGCCTGTAGCAGAGGTGTGCGTGGGTGGGCTACCACCAAACTGTACCAGTGGGTAAGAGTGGGCACCTCTCAGCAGCTGGTGTGTCGTTACCTGGTTTCTGACTCACTGGTCAAAGCCCACATTCAGCACCAACATGGATCTTACAGGATGGATGCTGGGCCACAGCCAAAGCACATCACAACTGCTCTGGGTGCAGCACTAGTTGAGATAGTTCCCGAGTACTAAATCCAGATCAGCTCTGCAAGCAGCCCTCAGCAGGTGAGACCTTCTCTTCCCTCCTCTGTTTGTAACCGGCATGGTACAACCCCAGTGACAGAATAGGTGGAATGAACCCCAAAACATAACCAGGCTTGAGGTGCTGGGCTGCACCCTGGTTCTTCATGTGAAAGTCACCCCGGCAGAGAGGCAGCACAAAGCCTACGTGTGCCTATGGGTCCCACCATAGCACTCCAAACAGGAGGAAGAGAAAGAGAACATGGGACAAAAGGCTTGAAGGATTAAACTGTGTGAGGGTGAACATCTATGATGCCTTCAGGAAAAGCTGAGACATTTGACAAGAATGGCTCATTTCATTCTGTAAACTCCCATGTAATGCAGGACTGGCTCAATCTTTTAAAGACAGCTGGGACCCAAGTCTGCTTTGTATGTATTTTTCTGTTGCTGCTCCTTCGTGTATTTGCTGAAGGAAAAATTACTCTGAGATCTGGAAAGGCCAGTTGTTAATGAGACCTCAGAAGTGATAGGTACAGGGAGGAATCAGCTGGTAAAAGCTGATTTTTCAGTGCCAAAGAAGCTTTGGGTCTTATCATTATTATTTCTAACATTTACCGCAGCAGCTGTAGGCTCTGAACAAAGCTAGGAAGGATCTGCATAAACTTACATCATCAGGGATAGAGTGTAATAAAGTATGATTTTTTAAAAAAACATGTGAGTCAGGGATATGGAGAGAGGATAAGTGATTTGCCTGAATTCACAGGGAGGATTTATTGTAGAGGCAGAAATGGAATCTGTCTCAGAAGTCCCAAATTAATATGTCAAGCTTTAGCTTAGCTTTGCATTCATGTATGCTGAGAAATGTAATTGAGAAGAATGAAGGGAAAAATACAGACCTTGTCGTCCAGAATAGGCTCGCACTGAGAGTAGTTTATCTTGGAAGCCCATGTCCCATTGCCCAGGCATTCTCTGTAGGCATTTCCTGGTATGGACCAAAATGAAAAGAGAGATGAACAGTCTGTGCTGGATTTTCAACAGCCTACCACTTTCAAAGATTTAAGAAAAGGTTAACAGAACAGATTATTCACAAGGCAAATCAACTTATCCCACCTCCGTGAGGACTAGAGCAGCCTGCTGAGGAAGGAAGAGAAATAAAAGAAACACATTAGAGACAACAAGTATTTAAAGGTACTTTTTGACAACGTTTTCTTATAACTGATGGATTCAGAAGACAGCAAAGGTATGAGAAGAATGTTGCAAGAGAAAGTTTAATGTTAGTATAGTCTTTTAAAAAGTACTCTAATGATGTATTAGAAATGGGCAGAAAGGTTTAGGTCTTTAATGCCCCATCTAGGAGAATAGTATGTGTATGGTAAACTTATTGCTCTATTCCCTTCCCATTTATCCCACTGTAAACTGGGATGGAAACATTCCTGGAGACACTGATTTTCTAGAGTCTTATCATAGAATCATTAAGGTTGGAAAAGACCTCAAGGATCATCAAGTCCAACCCAACACCACCTAACCCATTAAACCCTAAGCACCACATCTACACGTTTCTTGAACCCCTCCAGGGATGGTGACTCCACCACTGCCCTGGGCAGCCTGTTCCAATGCCTGATCACTCTTTCAGTGAAGAAATTTTTCCTAATATCTAGCCTTCCTATGCAGCAACAGTATTTATTTGTAAAACTTCTGCAAAGGACCTGAAAAAGGAGTGAGATAACCACATCTCCCAACCCTGGGGCAGGCAGGCTGGGATGGCCACACAAGAACATCTCTGAACAGATTTCAGAAATGCCTGAACCTAGGTTAGGATGTGTTCACCCATCCTCTGGGTAAATGAAACAACTTCTGTTATTTTTCCAAGGTGCTAGTTCTCCTAGAATGCAAGTGAAAATCATGAATGGCTTTACTGAGGCAGAGAGATTTCATGTCCAATTGCAGTGTCACTGCAAGAAACTCTGGGAACTGCATGTAGTAACACTGGGGTTGAGGAGGGGAGTTCAATTTCTGGCAAGCACAAGGAACTCTGAGAGAAAACTGTGCAGTTTTGCTGTACAAACTACCTTCCTCCATCCATCAAAAGCACATCCAATCCCAAGCAATAGTTTTGGTTTTTTGCTTTTATTTTGAACTGTGTCTTAGAAACATGAGAATTAAAATAAAACAGGAAATTCAGAAAGATCCCTAAAGGACACATACAGACAACTTCCTAATGAACTCTTCATGATGTTCTTGCTGCCCTTTACCCAATTTCATCTTGGGCCTTTGCCATGGTCATTCAGTGCTAATTCAGCACCCAGCCATCAGGAAAATAAGATGACAAATAAAAGCATCAAACTTAATGTTTCTAAAAGTGCTGTTGACAACAGGCATTGAAAAAGGTAGCAGCTCTTCAGAAGTCTTTCTTTTTCCTATATAGAAGGGAACTCCACATGGAAAGCAACAAATAACCGTTCACCTAGACGCTCCAGATTACACCACATCCATACAGATCACTGAATTTCATACTGCTATTGTCTATTTGCACTTTTTCACTGTTTCTTTCTGGAGTGAGAAGGACAAATAAAATAAAATTACTGGTAACATCTGGGTGAACTAAAGAAGCTTGTGCTCAAGGTTAAGGACCTCAGTTTCCATTCCTGTCACAAGTTTACAGAAAAATTCACATACTTCCCTCTCTTTCTTACTGGAGAATCAGGTAGAGACTGCCAATTTCTGTGCAAGTTTTCTTGTACAATTTTCTCCTGAATGCTAAACAGGTGACTAGACTTCTTTCCTCACTGCTTCACTTAGGAAGCTTTGGTGCTTAGCTGGATATCGAATTCCACTTCCACCATAGTGCTCATAAGAAATTCTTGTTTTATTCATTATGACTCCTCCTTTCCATCACCATATTTTTCCAGCTTGGGTGTGGAAACCACCAACACAATCAAGACTATGAGACATTTAGAACATCTAAAGTACCTGAAGAAGTACCTGAGAACATCCCACTGGGTCTACCTAAGTACCTGAAAGCTGCATTTGAATAAAGAAGTTCTTTATCCATGCAAAAAGAAAATCACCCTTCTTTTTCTGACTTCCCTCTAGCTGAGAAATTGGCAGCAAACAAAAACAGCTCAAAGCTGGGTGAAAAGAGAGAAGGGAGTGTCAAAACTAGGAAAAGACAATCCCTTTGACCACAGGGCTCCCTTCAAAGATTTCTTGTAGTTGAACAAGAAAGCAAACATTAGGCATGCTCCCCCCATCCACACTAACTTCTTCCTCTGCTCTTCCCATTGTTATTTCCATTTGACAGGTACAGAAACAGAAGCAAAACGTGTGTACATGAAAATGACCTGACAGGACCAAAGCAGAGCTGTGAACCTCATGTATTCTACCTTCTCAGGCCACAACACCTCCATCTCCTGCACTCCATCTTCCCTGCTCATTAAAACCTTTTCAGAAGGATAAATGTGTGTCTCATGGTTCTTGTCCAAAAGAATTATTAGAGAACAGATCACGATCAACAAAGCAAGATTGAGTGTAACTAATGCCATCCTCTTCCATTTTGATGTGTAACCCCTCCACTTTTAGAATATTAGGAGGCACAAGATGCGCCTCTGAGCTCTCTTGCAGTGCAAATGCAGGAATCTATACAACACCCACATGAAAGCCGTTCTCTGAGAAACAGCGATCTGGGTTCATGAGCTGTCACGACAGACCCTTAAGCGGTGAGTATCTGAACATAAGGAGGGTAAAATCAGACTCTGAATTTCTCTAGCCCAGAATCTCCTCCAGTATCAGCCACTTCTCAGAAACAAAAGCAGCAAGTTAGACCTGACTTCTTGGAATGTCTCATTCCAAAGTCTAGTAGTCATAAGTAATTTACACCCTGAAGCAAACGTCTTCTTTCTTTCTTCCAAATGCCTCACAGCATTAGTGGTAATAGCCACACGGAAACAAGTTTCCAATCATACTGAATGTATTTTCATATATCTATTTTAATTACATAATGCAGAACTTTTATCCAGTGCTTTAAAGGAGAAATACCTGATTTAGTGAATGAGGTAATACTAGAGAGCAGAAGTCCCTCTGCAGGCATCTGGAAGAAGCAGCTCTTGTCCATGCACAGATGAACGCCATGACATGCAATAAGTGACTCTAGCATTTCTTGGGGACATTGGGCCAATTGCACATGCACTGGAGTGCACCTCTGGCGTGTGATGAACTTCCTCCGTGTGCTTGTACATCTCTGCATGGAAGACTAGGGATAAAATAGTGGCGACTTCAAATAACCATCTTAGTCTTTTTCACAGCAGCAAACAGCTGTTTCGTAGCGCACTGGAGAGAGGCTCACTGCGTTCACAGCCACCTCTGGCGTGTGCTGAACTTCCTCCGTGTGCTTGTACATCTCTGCATGGAAGACTAGGGATAAAATAGTGGCGACTTCAAATAACCATCTTAGTCTTTTTCACAGCAGCAAACAGCTGTTTCGTAGCATCCCTACTTACTGTCAAAAACGGCGCAGAGAAGATCAAGAAAAACCAGACCCTGGACTCAGTGACAGGCTGAGTCACTGGGACATGCAGAGTTGTAGCAGTGATGAAAGCAGCAATGAGATGCCAAAAAGATGCCAGATAGATTGTTTCCATGAAAGACAGCAATGGAACATGTGTGTCCCCCAGCTCCAGGGTCCGTAAAGGAAGAGAGAAACCAACAGTTGGTGATCTCACCAAGAGACTTCTAAGATCTCTTTGGTGATTGAAGATGCTGAGGAATATTCCTTCTCACCTGGTTTTTCAATGAGAACTGGGATTAAGGTGCTTTGTGCTGATAGCATCCTTGCCCTTTGCTTTACGGCATTGTGTGCAGTAAGAGACTGGATTAAGTTCAGTTTCTCTTAATTATTGTAATGAAAAATAAGGAGAAAATGGATAACTCATGATGGAGATCTCCATTGTAGGAACAAACAATGAATACCCAGGAAGAAAAGAACAGTTACATTATCTTTCTAGGGCAACAATAGCTAATGAGAGCTATTAGCACGATTTCTTTTTTTCCTAGTTTTTTAAAAAAAAAAACAACTGTGACAATTTTAATTTCCTTAGACAAACGTCATACTGAAGAACTCCGTATACTTTATTTTATAATTTCTCCTTCCTTACTGACTTTATTCTAAAGAACAGATACACGAAGAGATTTTTGGCGGTTATAACTTGGGGTTGTTTGCGCTCTGTGTGCACTTGCACTCATATAATACAACCGGACAAGCAGATTTAATCTTCATGCAGACGAATAATGAGCAGTAGATGACTCATGATGACACAGGCAACACACAACCACTATACACACAGCTTTTGACACATCATCCAATATTCATCTCTATGCTTCAGTTTATGGCCTCTTCTTTGACTTTGCAAATGTTGATTTCTTTTTGTTGTAGATTATTAGCAACATTTGTGGCACTTGATTGCTTCGGCTTAACCATCAGTCCAGGGGACAGGCAAAGAGGCAAAAGGGAACTCCCTGAATGGACAGAAATATCCAGTAGTGCTCAGGCTGTCACTCAGGTTGCTAACTTCCAGAAAATGTATTTCACCCCCTTCAGGCCACCCAGTAGAACACATTAATTTTCACGTTTCGTCTAAGGGCTGGTCCAGTCATGCTGATCATAGTCATATTCTATCAATAAAGCCAATGACAGCAATGGCAGAATTCCCAGAGTCAAAAGCAGCAATTAGAGCCCCTCAGACAGTGTATTGCAACACCTTCCACCACTGTTCCTGCTCTGTACTGCTGGCTGCTGTTCTGATAGCCCAGTGCCAGACCTTGACTCTAAACACCATCCAACGTTGCAGCTTGTGGTGGGTTAGCCCTTGGCTCGG